AGCAGCCATTTGTACAGTTCCAAAAACAGCAACAACTTCCAGTATTTTATCATCAAAGGCAGGAGAACAGAACATCTATACATACAACAGATAATCCAATTGCACAAGGTTGAGTTTCATAAGATGAAAAAAATGCATTCTTTTTCTTAAAATTATTCAAACACACACAGAAGTATTTACTAGTTCTACTAGGTATTTTGTATGCATAGTGAAATTATTTCTTATATTAAAAGTTTTTTAATAGCATTTAACACAGCAGACTTGAGTGCTAGGTTATGGCCAAGTTACTTATACATGATGAAATGAATTCCTTTTCACAATCATAATAATACACACCCATTTAATAAAAAACATAATAGTAAATTCAATATATGTAAAGAGCTAGTTTTCTTAACAACCATAAATATGATTGGGTTTATGCTTTGGCTCAAACAAACTCGGAAAGTAAGGTTCAGCTATAGCTACAGTTGTACAAATATATTAAGTTACATGACACAACTTTAAAAACTATATTAAAATTACTGTAAATTATCTAGATAGATAACTGTAAATGTGAAATATCAATTTATTAAAACCTTTATTTTACTTACATCATCATCTTTTGTTCCTCCCCAGAAGTTTGACCCTCCACCATAACTATAAAATTAATAATAGAACAAAGAAGAATGAATGTAATTCACACTACCATTTGAAGTCAAAAAATTTGTAAAACCCAACATACATTAGAGGCTTTGTAGTGCAATGGCAATATTAATAAATGTGTTATGATAGTCAGTATGTTGCATTGCATGAAATTACATGCTAGTAATCACATTAAAAATATAAGCAAAAAAGATACTTGAACATGAAAAAAACTGATTTCCCTTAGAAAGACAAGATTTGAACAAGATATTTATCACAAAGTAATTCGAGTTCTCTGCATAACTGAGTTTATGAGAAATAAATAAAAGTGCATAATGAGCAGTCGTTATTATTCACAACATAAGCACTGTATTGATGTGACACTTCAGACAATTGCCTTTTATTGGGGGAGCTAGATCCAAAACTCTTTCTCTCTCAAGGTTTGGTCCAGACTTATTAAATCTCTTGTTACTTAGTTATCTCACAAAGAACGGCTAGCACTACCCATGTGACCAGTCCTTCCCACTCAAAGATAATGGAGGTTGTAATCTTGAGACATCATCTCACCTACCATTTGAGAACACTGCTGTTTACTTTCCTACACAATGTGGATCTTTATAGCCACAGAACCCACAGGCAGACCAGATGAGGTCTCAAGGTATGATAAAAAACAGCCAGAGCAAAAGCAACTTAATGAGTTTCTTGATGAGATGTTATGTGAAATTTCACATACTTAGAATAACTGAAAAATTATGAAAAATTCTATATTAAAACAAGAAGGTAGAAATGCATGGTATGCCTACATACCACACTATATGTATCACTATGTATTTGCTCAATAAAACAATACAAAACAGACAAGAGAATATCGTTAAAAGTTAGAATTACCTACTGTATCTATTCAGTTAAAATTAAAGCCAATACAGATTATTAAGTATAACTCTGCTTTACTATATAACTCACCTACCTGAGAATGTTCAAAACCACAATGCCCTGTAGTGAAGGTAATGGTATTCGATGGCCATCACATTCTAGATGTATTCTCTGTTCTAAGTTTCTAAAACTACGATGCCACAGCTCTTTCCCTCCCAGTACACCATACCACATCAAGTTTTTTGTACGAGATCTGCATTATATGTGTATTGTTAGGAACATAGAAAAAATATATAGAAAAACCAATATAACATTGTTTCTTTCCACTACAGTATGCCTAAATCAAGCCAAACAGCCTGTAATATTTACAAAAAGTTGATTTCAGGTATATAGTTTTTACTGCGTTTTTCTTATTAAACACACTAGTATGGTACAGGGATTCCATAAATGAGCAGCAACTTCAACAGCCATCAATTCATTCCCAAATACTATAAACTGATAAATTAGTAAGTTATAGTATTTCTCCCTGTTCTCCAATTTCCTTCACTTTCATAGGGTATTCTACTTTGAAAAATAGAATTCAAAATTTATGTTAATTCTTTCAACCCGGGCTCAGTTCTTGGGACTGACTTTGTAACCATTTTGTGCTTGTTATAGTTTTGATGCTATAACTTTTAAATTAGTAAGCGAATGTTAACGAAATGTGGCAGTTTATCAGTAAACAGTACAATGCTTTCATATGCAAAATATCTAATTTTTTTATCGAGTCTTAAGGTTTGTAAAGCAATGTTTCTCTCATGCCTTTTTTTTTCTTTTCACATCTTGCCTATCTATCATGTAAAGTAATTTTCATCTTAATATTAAAAATACGTTTATGCATGAGAAAATTTTGAAACTTCATATGCAAAATCTTTTATCAAACATTTCTTAAGAAAAAACTTTATATTTTATTTGTTATTTTCAGTAATTAATCTCTGTACGAGTTCGGTACATTTGACCAATTTCGCAACCACCATAAAAAATTAGGAAATAAATATAAATTATACATCATTCATTCTAGAATGAACAAATATTATAACATAAATGTTTAGACTAAATAGCTTAAACCTCATAACACTATACATTTATTATTTTTATTATATTGACCTTTCAGCCATGCCTGGCTAACAATACAGAAGTTACAATGATGAGGCTCACGTGCACTCATGTTACCGTATCAAATAACATAAAACTGACCTTAGGTTTGTACAAAGTAACTTGTCTTGGCTGAGTTTTAGTCGACAGGTATTTTGTAAACTACATTCACATTTGAATTATTATACATTATATATGTATGTAGATTATTGCTATTTTGAAATAAGTTCTTAAACATTTTTAAAAGAACAGTAAATAAAGAAGTAAAGCAAACAATTATCTGTTCTAGTTACGACCTTTGTACTCAGTTGCTGCTTGACGTAGGTTGCTAAGCCTTTAAAAAAATTGCATGTGGAGGATATGAAACAAAATATTTTTTTTATGTTTTATATATACAATTGAATGACTAAAAAAACATAAATTACTACATTAATACCATACAATTCCACTATGATTTATCAAGCTTAGTAACTAAGATGTATTTTAGTCTTCAAAAAATATGAAAATTCGAAGACTAAAGACACACACTACCTATTTGAAATATTAATTCAAAAGATAGAAATGGCGCAAAGTCCATTACAATGGCTGAGCTTCCGACTGGTTATTCATGTCATATATAGAAGTGCATATAAGGGAGTGTTTCCAAAAATGGAAAGAGGTGGGTAGGGTGGCACTGTGTTTTATTTATTACATGCGCAATATCTTAGCAAATTGAAAAGATAAGAGGCTCTTATTTTATATTGTAGCTTGTCAATATTGGTAACTTGAGTTTCTAATTCATTCAAAACTATAGACTTAGCATTTTGACTTCACAAATATCTAATTTGAACCAGTGTTGCATTCAACATTTCAAGTGACACACAAAAATTGATGTTTATCTGTGATTTTTTAATATTTCATTTTAAATTAAGAAATTGAGTAATATATAATACTAAAATTAGATTTATAATCTACAATCTGATACCAAACTTATTGACATAAATTCATGAGACAGTAGTTCAATGAAATTTTGAATGCGAGTCAACAAAGGAGATGACATGGCCTTTCACCTGTGACCTGTCTTGAAAGGGTTAGACATATATAGAGGGATACTTTTAAAATTTTTCACATGAATTTCTTTAGTCATTGTAGATCATTTTTTCAGTTACAATAATATAACAATTAACATAACACGTCTATTATCTTACTTTTCTCAGCAAATGTCTTATGTCCAAAAATAAGTCAATGTCACAGCCTTTAAACCCAAATCCATTAACACTTGACCCATAAAGATGTACAGTGCAACCTGGGAAAAACTCATCGAGGGCATCCTGAAGGATTCTACAAAAATTGTGTCGCTTGAACTCTTCTTCTCTGTCCAATTCTAATGCATTCTTTAACAACACCATTTGAAGTTCCACCTTAAAAAAGAATGTTAAGAACTTAATATTCACTATTTTTTAAATATGCACAAACTTAACATAATAAAAGTGAAATATGCTTGATCACTAACAATGTTCTACAAAGCTCAATATAAAATCAGAGTACTTCATTCAGTATACATAAAATTTTTAAATGTATAAATGTGAAAACAAAATAAAGCCAAAAAATCAGTTTTACGTTTTTTGCAACATTTGAGAAATGAAAGTGAATTTGTATTATACTTTGTTTTATACTCTGATGCAATTAAAGATCTTTATAAGTGAAGGGGCAAGTGTTTATAAAATAGGAGTTTTTCTTTTTAGTTACAATTACCATGTTCTCAATACCTCACAAATGCCAAGAACCAAAAACTGACCAGAAAAATAACTTTTAATCTCATTCATAACTCACACATAAAAATATCACATTTCACATACACCATTTTCAGTCATTCTTCAATTCAATGACTGTTACAGCATCCTCTGGCTGACACACAAATTTTATTGTGTGTATTTTACAATCTACTTCAGCTGAAGCACACCCACTGTCAGTGGCTTATGAGATGTGTGTGAAAAGTCCAAAGCTGAATATCCTGGCTTCAATCTTTTTACAAATCAACCTCTTTCTTGCAAGACCTTTAGCCTCCACTCTACAACTCCTGGATAACCCTTTTGAAAACAACCAAATACTTTAGTTGATAAAAGTTCTAAAGGGGTACACCCCAGATGAGTGGGTATCACACCAGTCCCTCTATCAAGAAGACCCAGAATCAAATCATTGCCACTACCACAACAGAAACAATTCTTCTTAGGACTTTGCCAAAGCCAACAGCAGATTAGTAGTCAAAATACTGGATAAAAACTAGTTACCAATCAGTATTGCGTAACTGCTAAACATAAAAAAATTTGTTACTAAATAATAATTAGACTTAGGTCAGTGCTTCTCAAATGGGTGAATGGTACACCCAGGGGTTAATGAGAACAGAATCAGGGTGAATGAGTATTATCAATTATACAACAAATTTAAGAGCAAAAAACTCATTATTTATAATTTTATTCTTGTTGTACTTTGATGTAAATTTACATCATAATAAAGAATTTTGAATTTTAATTTAGTGCTTTTTTTTTTCTTTTTTAAAATTGAGGTGTGTGAGCTGTTGTGAAAAACTTATAGGGGTGAATGATATTGGAAAAGCTTGAAAAGCACTGGCTTATGTGACCATATAGACTACTAGCTGTAACAACAATTCAAAATGTAAATTTATGTATAGTTCAAATTTTTTATATGTAAGTTCAAGACATTTAAACCCTTGATTAATATTTAATCAATAAATGTCCAAATTTCACCATAAATGGAAAAATCTTTTCACTGCAAACCAGAATGATATGTTTAATTTTTCATCTTCATAAAAATGTCAAACAAAAAACAACCTGCTAAGTCAGTGGTGTACTTCCTAATTGATTTAACATGCAAAATAATGTAACAAATTAAAAGATATAAACTATACAGTCTTAGTTTTTTAGAAGGTGTACTATGCTAGACTTATGGCAAACAATCTAGCCTTGCAACATATTGAATTCTTTATTCAAAGGCAATATTCTATATAAATTTTAAATCTAGAAACATCTGTGTATAATTGTTAATTAGTTTTAACTTTTTTGCCCATTAACCATAAAATAACATTTCTGTAAGTATTATTTTACATATTAAAACAAGTTGTGGTTGTTTAAAATAACCAGCCCTAGAGGACAAAAACTAAATTTCTTAGATCTAAAAGCCACATTTACTTACATAGGCGATTTGACCAACAATTATTCATCCTTATTATATAAAAATATATTAACCCTTGTGTTCAATCTTTAGTTATCCATTATTATCTACATGTACGTTGGACATTATTAAGGAAAATCCCCATTAACCACAGATCATACTGAATGCAAGTTAACTTATAAGCAGATAAAACATAGAATACTTGATTAAAATATTAGGATGTACATGTAAAATGTCATGTAGACAATGGCATATTGTTGACTACTGTTACATGCAGTCAATTATTTAGATCTCTTAAATTATGTATTCATAAATACCAACACGTAATAGAATTTTTATTATATACATAAGAAATTTATAAGTATTTTATTTTAAAAATATGTAATCATACTATAAGTGGAAGTTGTAATGCTTTTAATAAAAACTGTCACTATATAGACAAAGATCATTTTGCATAAGTGTATCAGTGGTCTGGCTTTCAGGAATAATTTCACAATATGATGAGTAAGTTACTAACATAAAATAATTCATATATAAAAAACACAACAATATTCTAGTACTTCTATGAAATATTCTGATATGAATGAAGTTTACACCAAAAATTAATCTTCTTGAAAAAAATGCTGTGTAACAACAAAATACAAACTTCAGAACTCACTGTCTCAACACAAAGCAGCTTAGACACCACAGCATTATGTTCTATAGGCTGTGCTGCTGCTGCTGTCTCAGAAACCTGAAACTCTTCGTCTCCATCTGGATCTGTCAATAATTTCAGCTGCCGTCTTTTCACAAGAAGTTGATGACGATGAAGGACCAAGGGGCGCCTTCTGTACAATGCTTTGGTAACTGATCTTTCTTCCTTAAACTCCACAAATGCAAATTTTCTCTACACAAAAGGTAAAGAAAAAACTTGTTACATATAGTGCAAATATGTTTTAACATAAAAATAACTAGAATACATTTTTACTTAAAAACAAATAACTTTTTTTTACTGCTCTATTTATTCTAAATTATCTAAGATTATTTTATTCATTTAGAAAGTGAGACTCTTACTTTTTCACTGTCAATAGTCACTTGTTCCACATCTCCTAAAAAGGAAAAGAAATCATGCAATTCTTCCACTTCAGTATTTGGGTGAAAACCTGTGACATATAGAGTTCTTTTTGCTGCTTCTTCTTCCTGCTGCCTTTTAGCAAGATTGGCTTTGTGTTTCTTACCATTAAAGTGAGTGTTCTTTTCTTTGCCTAAATTAAAAAATATAATAATGAAATATCATCAAAATAAATTAAGAATGGGAGACAAGTGGTAAAAAAAAACCACATTTTTCTTACAAATACTAAAGAAAACTTTAGGTCAGTATTTTCAAAACATTTCACAAATATTACAGTAAATTTACTTACCATATATCAACACAAGTTATAACTTTCCTATATTGAAAATTTATTTCTGATAGCTACTTCTCTTACATAAATAGCTATTTTTGTTCAGTGCTGCCCTCTATATGCAAAAATGTTTTCACATGCAACAAGCCTTGAGCTCCCATGTACCCTACAATCAACATGGTTCAACAATGTCTCACAGGTAAATCATCATGCAACATCCTTCTACCAACAGGAGTGTGACACACTTTCCTGATGCATGTGACTTCCACTACTCAATTCTACCAAACTATCACTTTGAGGTTTGGGCAGAAAATGGAAGAACAGGTTTTCAGTGTGAAAGAAGGTAAGTATCTATCAGAAATACATTTTCAGTATAAGAAAATTATAACTTCTGATACGGTACATTACCTTTTCTCACATAAATAGCTAGAATCCCAAACTAAATAGGTGGAGGGATTGGTGCGAGAGAAAGAAAGAAAGTTTTAGATTGGGGTCATAGTTTGTTTTCCTGTGATTTTAATTTACTTGATTTTATGTATTTTTCTTAGTTTATGGATAAAAGATGTCTTTTTATTCTATATATTTTCTTTTCTGGCATTTCTCTGTTTAATAATTTGTTTTATATGATATCTAATTACTTCTTGTACATCTTCATATTGCCACTTTGGCTTTTATTTTATACAGATGGCTAGAAAAGGACTTACTGCCACTGCAATACATTTTAATATCGTAAGCCATAATCAAAGGCTTTCATTATTTTATTTTGCTTACAAATAATGATTTGGACAAAAAAAACATATCATAAGTGTTTGAGCTTCATAATAATTCAAATATCACAATAGAGTTATAATGACCTCGAGTGACCACATATGTTCCATTTTATCATGCAACCAAAAAGGGTTAAATATGAATGGATAACTCAAGAATTATACTGCCACATCATAGTAGAGTAAACATGTAGGTGTAAGATTTTTCATACAGTATTGCAAAAACTTTCATTTTCGAATTGTGAAAACATTTGCAACTAAAGTATACCTGTTTGAAATCTAAGGAAACTTTCATCAATGAAAAGACAACAAATAACTTAAAATTGGGAAAGATCACTTCTAGTCCACATTAGCAATTCATTCTCCAGATTCTTTTAAAACAAGACCTGGTAAACTATGGCAGTAACATCTTTCACAGTCAACAAGCCTCCAGTGACAACAGACAAAGTAGGGGTAGTGTTAGAAACATTGCCAGAACCTTGAGAGAATATAGTAGTCACTGTTACTTGAGAATTCATGGTTGTTGTAACAATTCTCCAAACTATTTTTCTTTTAGTTATTCAGTGGCAATATAGCCTTAAATCAAAGTTAAAACAAACTAAAAGAAAATCAAAGAAAGTAAACAATGGGACAAGGCATTGCAAATATCATGAAAGTGATCAATTGTAAACTTAAAGAAACACGTCCCTTAAAGACAGTGCCTAGAATAAGACTGAAGTTAATTTTGAGTGCAAGTGCTTATGTGGATCTACTGTGCATGGAAGATGTCACTCTCCTATTGATGGAGGGCTAATGTTACATCATGCACTAGTGCATTTCACTTTATAACACATCCTAAGTGAGAGATAGCTCAAGGTTAGTGGCAAGCACAAAACTTAAAAAGCAGACACCTGAAGAATAGTTATGATGTGCAGAGATAAACATATTTCAGGAATAATCTTTTTGATTTAATACTTAACAAATCTTTCAATTCATTATCTTTAACTTTACTCAGCAATTTTATCTATAAAACTTCCTTGAGTTCTCTTAAATACAGTTTCAAGATTAGCTAAGTCATGCACAATAGACTATGATTAAAATTTACACTAAACACCATCATTATTTCTTCATTTAATAACTCCTTTTTGAGACCATTATTGTCTTCACTGAAACCACACTTTCCAATAATTCCTGCCCACATAAGCTTTAACATCTCACTAAGTATAAAGTAACTTTTAGAAATGTTATGATGCCACACTCTAGTCAAATATTAATATATATAATTCCATGAAACATTTTCCTACAATAATAGAAAGTGACAAGCTTGGAATAACTACATGTGCATGTACTTTGTGTAAACCTCATAATTTGAGAATTAAAACTTAATACACCTTCCTATGCTAGATGGAAAATAAAAAATGGATGATAAAGCTAAATATGAAGAAGGCAGTTACCACCTAGTGGTGTGTTCAAATAGTTTAAGAATGACAGCAGGCCCTGTATTTTAAAGCC